CTTTCCAGATTGGTTCAGAGTAAAAAGCAGGATTTCAAGACACTTTACAGACACTAGTTCTGCCTGCTAACTTGTGACTTCTGTATTCCGTCTTGCTACACCCAGAATCAACTTGCAAGCTTTGCTGTTGGCCATATTATTCATTCTGGGATGAGCGTCCCTCTAGGTTTACCCTAGGACTTCATGACAGGCTGGGTGAGCTGTCTTCTTAACCTTCTTGAATTCATGCTGACTTAAGTGCTCCAAGAAGCAGCGGCTACTAAGCCCATCTGAGCCTCACATATGACTTGTGCATAGTCATCGCTCAGCTTATACCTCAGTGCACACTGTCACTGCCTGCCTCCCTGGAGTCATGTAGCTTCTCTAACATTGGTTCTCAAGCTCCTTATAGATTAGCCAATTAGTGAACACTGCATGTGGTCCAAGTAGCCGTGTCAGATCACAGCTTTTAGCTCTGTGCCGCCCTTGGCGATTCTTGGTCTGTGTCCAGGCATCTCATGGTATAGGATGGATGATTTGAAATTTCCCCAGTATGTAACCTGCTATGAGTCCATATGTATCCATAGATTTTATATAACTGATCGACATACTAAGCTAGCCAATAAAGTTAAATAAAGATACCAGGCACGTAACTTTTTAAGTGAAAAGACAGTTTCTATTAGCCATACAGAAAATGCTATGCTGGAGTTCAGAGTTCTATCCTTCTCCAAAACCTCCTTGATGCAGTGCCTTCACGTCACCTCGTTAACAACTGCAGTCGGGTATTAACACATGAGCTAACTAGCAACTCAGCTGGATTTCAGAAATCAGACGCTCTCTTCCACGCTAACACCACTACCTCGGTACAGTGTGCTTATGACGTGGTATGTTGGTGGTTCACATTCCCTGAACCTATGGACCCTTGGGTCTTCTCTGATATGGGTGACAATGTTTTCATGTCTGAATGATCAACCTCACTCATGTCCCATGTAAACAGCTCCTGCCCCAGCTCTTCCTTGGAAGTTGTGTTGGTTAGCTTTTGTCAACTACACACAAGCTAGAGTCATCTGGGAAGGGGGGACCTCTATTAACAAAATGCCCTCCATAAATCTGGTCCTAAGGCAAGCCATGGGTAGACAGTTGATGTGGAAGGGCCCAGCACACTGGGTGAGGTGCCACCCTTGGTCCTGGGTGGTATAAGAAAGTAGGCTGAGCAAGTCTTGGAGAGCTGTGTTTTCCATGGCTTCTATTTCAGTTCCGGGCTGCAGGTTACTGCCTTCAGTGCTGATGTGAGGTGAAATAAGCCCTTCCTCCTCAGGTTTCTGGTGGCTGTGGCACTTTGGGTCACAGCAATAGAAAACAAACTAGGACACAAATATTTTTAAAACTAGGTCCTTGTTTCACCTTTACAATTTTATATCTTAGATTTTTTAAAAAAACAACAAAGAAACAAAAACAAAGAGAAACACACACACATCTTATGGAGGACAGCAGCATTAATGTTTGCAAACCATCCCTCACCTCCCTGTGTGTCCCTGCATGCCCATGGCAGCCTCCTAAACAGCACTTGTGAAGCTAATTTTCGAGCCTAAGGCTCACCCTGGCTCTGTTCTTTATCAAGGCTTCACTGGTTTTAACTTTGGCTGGTTTTGTTTTGTCATTCCTCTCTTCCTCCTCTATATAAAAATATTGTTTGTTTTCTGAAGCAGTTAGAGAGGGTTGCATAATTCATGTTCCTTTAAACATCAATTATTCAGTTGTGTTTTTCCCAACACAGAGAGAGCATTATTCATGGTTTTGGTTTTGTCTCTTTTAGTCCTGAATACTGTCTTTCTGTCATATGATGTATACATTTCAATATGATTTGGAATTTATATTAAAATGTATATATGATAAAGTTTTGAATTTGAATGCAACTTATAAATGTTATATGAATATACACTATATGATGTATAACGCAAACATTTTTCAGAGGCATAGTACATTAAAATTTATGCCTTGAAAATAAAAATTATATATATATTGTATTTAAATAAATAAAATATGATTTAAATGTATGAAATTTAATATCAATATACAATGCAGGGCTGGAGAGATGGCTCAGTGGTTAAGAGCACTGACTGCTCTGTCAGAGGTCCTGAGTTCAATTCCCAGCAACCACATAGTGGCTCACAACCATCTGTAATGTGATTCGATGCACTCTTCTAGTGTGTGTCTGAAGATAGCTGCAGTGTGTATTCATATAAATAAATATATATGTATATTGCACATACATATATATGTGTATGCTAGGCCCATAAGTTTATGATTTTATATTATAAATTATAAGTAGCAACATAGTTAGGAATCATGATAAATAAAAATAAGATGTAACACAGATATAATAAGGTATTAATGTACACTGATATGCTATAATTTAAAATATGTATTTATGTTTAGTAGCATATTTACATCCTCATTCTTATGGAGTGCATCTCACCTTGAGTCTGTTTGATTTTTCTCACACATGTGATTAGGTTATACATGCTCTGCTAGAGTCAGGCCTACATGATGTCTTCGTGAGGAGAGATCCCGGTAGACATGATATGCTGTCTTATCACACCTCCATAGTGTGTCCACTCTTATTTTTCTGAGAATTAAGTTGGTGAGGATGGTTTGAAGTCACGTGGATACCTTGTATCTCAAATAACTTAGATGTCCTAGATTTACCATCTGGTTTTCTCTGCTTATATTCATTCAGTAGTACTGAGGATTGAACCTGGGGCCTTGGCCTTGCTGGCCAAGTGCCTTATTGCTGAGCTACACTCCCAACCTGATTATTTCTGGTTTCTTGCTCTATATGACCTTTATTCTTCTGGAAGCAGATGGGTGTGTCCACTGCTCTAGCCACACACACTGACAGGCAAAGCAGAGTCTCTTGTCCATTCATTAGTTTTCTGTTCGTGTGCTTGTAACCTTTGACACCCATGTGTCTCCATGTGCATTGTGGTTTTCTGTGTTTTTAATGGTTTACAATGTATTATGCTCCTTGTTTATTTTAGTCACGTTTTCTCAGGTTTGTTCACGGAGAGCTCTTTTAGATTTTTTTTCCTTTTGATTAACTTTTTTTTTTTCCTGAGTGATTTGTGCTCTGACGTGAGAAAGTGACCCTGCTGCTCTTGAGTCTCCCCAAGCCTCAGCCTTAGATTAAGACCCTTTTTCTAGGAAGCCAGTGTTTGTCTGAAGTGGGTTAGTGGACAATGGGGCATTGGCAGACCTGTGAGATCGCACACTCATACATCTGTACATACGTACACACACACATACACATAGACACATACACACACAAACACACACACAAACATACATACACACATCTGTGCACACACATACATCTGCACATACATATACCTGTACACACACAACACACACCTGTGCACACAGACATACACATCTGTACACACACATGTCTGTGCACACACATATGCATCTGTGCACACACATATACATCTATACACACATACACACACACATACACACATCTGTGCACACACACATACATCTGTGCACAGACATACACATCTGTATACACACACACATACTAGCAATCAGGAGTCGTCCCCTCATTGTTAAAAGTATTGATTTATCTGCTTTTTGTTTTCCCTCCACTCGGCAAATATTCTGTGGCACATCACTACCCCTCTACCCAAAGATGATCACAGTATCTGACATTCTGTGTTTCATGGTAAAGTTTATTGAGATTCAAACCCAGGACATTGCACACATAATATAGCCAAGCACTCTACCCCTGAGCTATGCCCACAATCCTTAATGTATGTCTTAATAAGTCGATAACTGAACAAACTTTTATGCTGAGAATTGATCTTCCAGAAGAGAGTAAGGTTAACTATGAAAACTCTGCCCCTTGTTCCTCCTTTTCTCTTTCTAGAAATGTGGAGCATATGTAATAATGAAAGGTGTTTGTGTTGGGTTGTAGAGTACATGGGTGGGTTGATGTGTGGGTCCCATGCCCACCCCCCAAGGGTCTAGGGCCACTGCTCAGAGAGGCAGAGGTGTGGGAAGTTGACTGTGCTCACTCCAAGCTATGTGAAACCATGGGACTCTGCTCAGGAGTGAAAAAGCACAGTCCGAAGTCCCACAGAGAGCCAGAGCTCTAGGCTTGGGGGTCCCCAGGCCAAAAGGCAGCTGGGAACCAGCTGGTTCTCAGTCCCTTGGGCCCTCAGGCACCGTTGGGGGACCACAGAAGGGCCTAGAACGAAGTGGGGATGTACAGGCTAGATTGGTCCGCAGGCGAAGGGGGTAGGGGGAGAAGCTCTGGCTGTGTCCTGTAGGGAAGAGAGTTCTTGGTTGCTTGTCTGGGTCAGAGCTGGTGGTCTTTGTGGCTGGGGAAGCAGAGAGGTTGTCAGCTCAGCAGAGATATTGCATAGTGGGTCTGTAGGTGAAGGCCTGCTCCACTGTTCCCCAAAGTGGACCCCAAAGAAGAAAAATAGACCATGGTCTTTAAATGTTTATTGTCATGGTGGATAAAAGATGAAAACCATACCCTGGTATTTTCAAGGCGGGCCTGAGGTTAAATACCCTCTGAAGGAGGAGGGTCTTGGAAGGAATGTTTAATTGGCTATACCTCTCTGGCCTTTGGGTATCTCATTTATATGGAGATCTGTCTTGAGGCTCTGTGGCCTGTAGTCATGCCTTCTACCTGTGGAGGGGCTAGGGGGCATTGTCCTAAGTGACTGGAGGACCCCACTCTATGGAGGTCTTCAGCCTCGTGTCAGGAGCCTGGAGTCTGGGAGCATGGCGAAATGCATGCCATCTCTTAGGATTACCTGAGGTCTCCGGAGATTTCTAGCTGGTGCTCAACCAGGAACCATACTGTCTTTTCACAGTCCTACACGTTTGCTCCATAGATATGCCGCCCATATGTTTTCGGCTATGCTGTTCCCAGAATCATACGTACTTCCACAAGATTCTGTAACAATAATTTTCCAAGGTTTAAGTTTTCATTGTGTTGCATTTTGTAGGTGGCTGGCATCGTGGGCAGAGCCGATGTGCTAGCATGCCTCCTGTTCCTGCTGGCCTTTCTCTCCTACCAAAGGTGAGTGGGGGAAGTAAACCCCTCTGTGATTTGGTCACATACTGCCACAAGTACAGAGGCTCTGGGGTGTAACATGCTCAGTGGGTGTCAGGGATAAAAACCATCTTTTTACCCAGTGTTAAATTGTTATCTTACGGCCCCATTCTGAAGCATTTAATATCCTGTGTGTGTGTGTGTATCTCCACTAGCCCAGTCCCAGGATTATGGACATGATGTTCACTTTTTTTCTTTTCTTTTTTTTTTAAATGTGTGTTGGGGATTTGTGTAGCGGGCATGTCCCCTCTTGAGCATCCCCTAACCCCGACATCAGTTTTAAAAGATGACCATCCCCTCCCTGGGGAATCTGAGCTCTTGCTTCTTGTTTTGCTTACCCTTTTCTATTAGGCTTACAATATCCATTCGCAGTTACATAACAAGGTTGATTAGGAAGTATTCCTTCCTCACTTTCATTTTGCACCTTTAGGATCCTTTTGTCAAAATACAGGAAACCTCTGTTGCATTTCATCTTTATCCCCAAAGTGAAGTCATTTCAACAGACCTGTGACATGTCCACAAATAGAAGAATGAGTTAATAAAATATGAGTTTGAACAGAAGGTTCAGAGCGTCTCCCTGAAGGAGGAGGGTCATGGAGAGATGCTGGCTGAGAATCTGTAAACTTGGCCTTTGGATCAATTCACTGACCCGTAACTTAAAAAACCTACTTACTTAAGAACACTGTTCCAAACCTGCGGTACTTAATTAGCAACAACTTCCCTTCTTCCTCTAATATAGCATTTCTTTGGCATGCTATGGCCCAGATATCTGAGAGAACTGTCTAAGGGAGGAATTCTTTATTTTGGCTCAAAGTTTTAGTCATGGTTGGTTGGCCCCACACATCTAGACGGAGAGCAAGAACACATGGCAGTGAATACTCAACCTTGTGGCAGATTATCAAGAAAGGGAGCGATTTCAGGTCCAGAGCGTAAGATGGCCTCTCAGTACACACTCTCAGTACCACTTCCTCCAAGCAAGGCTCACCTTCCTCAGTTCCTCCATTTCCCACTGGCATCTAGTAGATAGAGAGGAAACACACCCCTGCAGGATGCCCCTGCAGTACACAAGACGGGCTTTACAACAAAGAGTTATCTGGCAGGGAAATGCCAGTGTGACAGAGGCTGGGGACCCCTGGTACATTCCGGTGGAGGCCTTGCGTCTGGAGTGAGATGCATGAAGCCTAGGACGTGTTGCTATAGAGGGTGGAGCCAGATTATTACAGTCTTCATCTTCAGGCCCAAGCCTCGTACTGCCCACTGCGTTCATAATTGTGCACATACTGTTATGAAGTCTCAAAGCATAAGCTTAATGTTTCCTTTTTTGCTCTGGTGTTGGACTATAATCAATCTATTGATTAATTTAAAGTTTTCTGTTTGGTTGTATCTAAATGTGCTTCCCATCTGTGTGGCTGTGAGCCAGATCATCACAGGTTGGTTGGTTGGTTGGTTGTGCCCTGCTTACCTTTGGGAATCTATGTTCTAGGCTGAGCCCATGGAAAAATGAGTATTCTATTATCTGTTTAGCATGTAATTCTAATTGTTCCAAGATGCGACACCCAGGAGGAGCTGTCACAATATAGGTGCACTTACATGAGGAGATAGTGATGTTTTCTTGGGGTAGTTTCATTTTATTATTTGGAAAATAACACTGAAAACATCTTGAAATTTCTTTGGGAAACTATGATTAAAAAAAATAAAGATTTCCAGGCTTGGAAGATGGTTCAGTAGTTAAGAACATATACTTCTCTGGCAGGGGACCTGATTTGGATCCCAGAACCCATATTGGATAGCACTCCACTGCCCGTAATTCTTGCTTCATGGGATCTGATGGCCTCTTGTGGCCTCTGTAGGCAAATGCATTCACATGTGTGCAAAACCACACACATACTCTCTCTTTCTCTCTCTCTCTCTCTCTCTCTCTCTCTCTCTCTCTCTCTCTCTCTCACACACACACACACACACACACACAAATAATTAATAAGAAAGTTGTCCAATGCATGTACCTTGAAAATAAATTCAAATAAACAAATTAGCCAAAAGAAAAGATAAATGTTCAAAACCTATTTTTCCATCATAGAGAGGATGTTATTTACATCGCTCCTGTTTTGTGCATAGGAGGGAATAAGAACCCTTTTATCTAATCATGGTGATGAGCACTTGACATCTGTCACTTACCTGGTCCTTGCTACCATGCTGTTCTCCCATTCCTGTGGTATGGTATCCCGTTCGCTGACTGTACATCTGTGGGTTGTACCAGGAAATCCGGCTTCCCGCTCCATGCATATGTGTTAGTAATGTGTGTTGTTTTCTTGGACATATTCACTTGAACATCATCCTGTCTTCTAAATCTATCCTCGTGTAACTGTTCTAAGTGACTTTTTAGTGTTCATTCATCACAAACCATATTGTATCATAATTTGCATACTGTAGTTTAAGTTCTGAGTTGATATTCTTGGATCATTTTCCATTTAAACAGTATTTTAAAAGATTTTTTTTTTAAAAAAATGTGTATGTGTGTGCATGGTGAACAACGCTCTTGGAGGAATCCTTGCTCAGAACACCTTATTCTCCATGAGATACTTCTCCAATAGGAACTGTTCCATAGCAACTCATGTGTTGATAAAGAAATTCCCAACTTGTTTTACAGGAGTCTGGACCAGGGCTGTGCAGGGCAGTGCTTCCCCCCGACAGCTTCTCCCTTCTTCCTGCTGCTCAGTTTGTTTCTGGGGACCTGTGCCATGCTGGTGAAGGAGACAGGCGTCACCGTGTTTGGAGTGTGCTTGGTTTATGATCTCTTCTCCCCGTCCCACAAGCAGGACAAGTTGTAAGTCATTTCCAACCTTTGCTGTCGTATTAGTTAACTTTACATTTTTATGATAAACCCAACAAATTAACTTGAAGGAGGGAGGGTTCGTTCTGCCTCATGGTTTCTAAGAGTGTCACATCTAGGATGGAAAGCAGCTGTATTAACAGCCAGTTTGTATGAGGTGTGTGCTGCTGAAGGAATCTTGATTCACAAAGAAAATCGTGTTATGAATGGAAAGCGTTAACAGCTTGTTTTGAGTTTCCAAGCTCCGATGGCTGTTACCCATGAGTGAGCTCTGTGAACTTGAAGCCCGTCTGCTTGCTCTAGTCCTCTGATTTAAGAACGTCAGGAGGTTGGCTGGAACCAGTCTTGACCATCTGTGTACACTCACTCTTAGGTCATGGACATTTCCAGTTAAAGAGACAGCTTATTGAGTGCCCCATTTTCCTCCTAAGCAATAAAGGTGTACTTGTTTATCTGTGTGGATTGTGATGCTAAGACTGACTGGGGAATATTAGAAGTTCAAGCGTATAGAATTTTCTTCCCCAATCAAATCCACAGTTCTTTATAGTTTTACATGTAGTCATTAAGGAAAGAAATGACAACTGATGATACAGCTGTGAATCTGAGGGAGAACTTGTGCACTGCTGGTGAAAATGCAAATTAATCTGGACGTGTGGACCACTATGGAGGTTACTTAAAAAACTGAGGACAGGTCTATTATATGTCCCAGTTATAGCGTTTCTGGATATTTACCTGAAAGAATCCAAGTCAGAATCTTTATTGTAGCACTAGTTACAACAGCTAGGTATGGAACCGACCTAAGTGTTTATCAGCAGAGAACTCTATAAAGTAAATGTAGTATTTATACACAATAAAATCTGCCCATAAAGAAGAAAGAAATGGTATCATTTGCAGGAAAATGTATGTAACCGAAGATCATCATACATGGTAAATTAAGTCAGAAAGACAGTTATCACAGTTTTCCTTCTCATTCGTGGGTTATATAGTTGGATATATGTGTACATATGCACATAAGATGTTAAAGGGAGACTGTCCTGGGAATGAAGGGGAAACAATGGAGAGGAAAGGGAAGGTTAGAGGGTTTGGGGGAATAGGGTTAAAATATATCATGCACTTACATGCAGATATTCTCATGAAACCTAACAGCATGTGCAGTGAATATGTGCCAGTAAAAATAAACTGAAAAGGAAAAAACTGATAATGCAGTTCTGTTTTTGAAGACAGGTAGTTGTAAATAGCAGAAATGGGGGAAATTGGAGATTTGAGACAATGTGATTTCAGGGATCTCGGAGAGGAAGGTAAGGATGGCTGCTTCTTGTTGCAGCCTTGTCGTTTTGTCTGACTTGTTTCCTCAATTCTGTGAATGATTTAGGAGCAATGGGGAGATCTGTCAGCACAGCTCGGGGCAGCCAGGGAGCCCCCAGCCCTCGTTTCAGCAAGCCCACGCCCACCGTGAGAGCAGAAAGCAGCGCATCCCACACAAAGATACCTGGGGAGGCTGCCATTCACCATTGCCACCAGAGCCGAAGAGCAGTGGATTCCCTGTGTCCCCGAGAACAGTGTGGTCTCTGATGAGGTATGAGGCTGGGTTCTCCACCGTATTCCTTTCTTGGATGATGCATTGCCTGGTGCTGCAGCCTATAGCATCTGCAGAGCTAAAGTGCTGAATCAGGTCTTTGAGACAACCTTCCTTCCCTCAAGGGTCGTGGCTGTGGGTTGGGGACTTTCAAGTAGGGTGGGAAGTTAATCTGGATTGACTGTGAACATCTTGAGGGTGGGAATGTGCTCTGTGTTGCTGACAGTCGACCCCAAGTTCTTAATGCAGTTAAGTTATGTAAATGTAAGATAAGTAAGTAAGTCTGTCATAAGAATAGATTTGAATCAACCTTGGGAAAATTTTTCAGAACTGGAAATGACATAGTAGGGAGAAAAGATGTTAAATAGAAGACTATTAGGCCTTTTCTTCATCTTTATTTTAAATTTTGTGTATGGGGTGCAGGCCCACATTGTGTACAGGTGAACTACGCAGAGGAAAGATGAGAGATGCTAAAGCAGAAAGACGAAAAGCCCTTCAGGTGACATGCTCATATCCTCCGACTGGCTCTCTAAAGATGACATCTGATCCATTGAATACTCACTTTTATGTAAAGGTTCCCACCACAGCTGATGCCAAGCTGTGGCATGACATCACTGGGCATGGAGTAACTGATGCCTGTCACTCTGCAGTTCCTGCCAGACAGATCAAGCAGACACTTGGCGTCTCATGGGCCAAGTTCACTGTGTAGTCTAACTAGGGAATGCCCAGAGTTGGTAACACTTTTTTCTTTTGATGCAGTTTGTTTATATTTAGATAACTTGATCTTTAATGATGGCTGACCTTAATAACTGGCTCGCAAGATTCCTAAACAATCAGTCAACTAATATTCCGATTCACCGTTAGCTCCTCGACACCAACGAAGCAGGTTCATTGTGAAACTGGAAAAAACTTGTTATCCGTCATCCACCTGCTGTTTACTGGGTAGGGAGGAGAGATTTACACATCCTGCTGTTACTTCATGTCTATCACAGTGTCTGTTGAGGGTCAATATTATCATTCCCGTGACTGAAAAACACTGGGATTCTTAAAAGGTCACAAACCTTGCCCACGCTGAAAGTTAGCACGTATTGGTGGCAGGGCTGGAGCTGGGCTACGTCACTCAGACCTGTGCTTGCCACTTATCAGGCGTTGAGTCCAGAGTCCTGGTGAGTACTTAGTGCCACAGTGGGGGTGAGGGGGGGCATGTCTCACTTGGACTGGCTTGTGTGACCCTGGCTCCTCCATGGCTCCTCTGGGTGTGGATTCATGCAGTCATCCTTGGGTCCATACATGAGGACCGGGAGAGAGTTAGGGAACATGCTTCTGCAGATTACATTCTGCTTCTCCATCCAGGACACCTGTGTTCTGGAAACGGGCCACATTCTTACCTGGTCCGTGTGCTTGTATGAGAGCATCATTTCCTCCTCCTCCCCCCAGGGAAGGAAGGCTGTGATGGATGTGGCATGTATAAATTGGTTTTGAAAACTCTGCTTATTCTTTTGTCATATGTGATTGGGTAAAGCCACTGAGTTCAGAGAGGCATGGTATCCTGCTTCTTAAGATCTCTGGCTCTGTACACAGATCATTACATCACAGTTCCTTTGCTTACTCTCTGTTAGCCTAAAAGTGGCATGCCAAATTGTCTATCGGGGCCAAAGCTGTTTGTACTGCACATCAAGAACGAGAGAATCGGCAACTGGAGTTCTCCCATTGTGTGGCAGAACCTGTACCGTAATTCTTGTCCTGTTTGTGTTAACTATCAACTTGATACAGCCTAGCTAGAGTCAGCCTAAGATGGAAGACTCAGCTGAGGAATTGCTCAGATCAGATTGTCCTGTAGCATGTTTGGGGGACATTGTTTTAATTATTAATTGATGTAGGAGGACCCACTCCAGTGTGAGTGGGACGATTGCCTACCACCTGGTCCGGGGCTGAAAAGAAAAGTGGCTAAGCACAAGCCTTTGAGGGAGCCAGTATTCAGCAGAGTCTGAATACATGGTCTACTTTAAGATCTTGCCCCAACTTGAAGTAGAAGCCAGATAAAACATTTCTTCCTCCAAGTTATTTTTGGTTAGAATGTTTTATTGCAGCAACAAAAGGAGCCTCGCATAGTTCTGCATTGTGGATGCTGTGTCATGTTCATGTGGGTCTCTAAACACCAGGGTTCAGTGTGAGTGGTGAGCCTGTCTATGGAGCAGGGAGGGAGAGTGTGGGGGGTTTCTTTTTCCATTGAACTTCTAGTAAACCTGGCAAAAGTTGAACCAAAGAATCGTCATATAAAGTATTGTTTTCAGAAGTTTCCTAATTCAGGGAAAAATACAAACACAGGAGGAAAGCATACCGCAGGACATTGATTTATCAGCTTGTCTTTGTTTGTGATTGTCTTATGGGTCAAAAGTATATTGGGAGATGGAGGGCTGAGGACCTATGCCCTGGAGTAAGACTGCAGTTGACTGGTAGAACTATTTACTGGATCACTGTATGTTCACTGTATGTGAAATGCTTCATATGTCAACAAGCCTCCACTATCTTAGAGATATCAAACACACACACACACACACACACACACACACACAGAGAGAGAGAGAGAGAGAGAGAGAGAGAGAGAGAGAGAGAGAGAGAGGCCTGCACACACGCATGAATACTTGCACACCTTCCCTTTCATGTTAGGAAGCTCAGAGTGTACTTCACATATACACTCGGTTGATTCTATAGACCACAACAGCCACAGTAGGCACTATGCATGATGGTTTCCTTCTTGTACACTTCCTCTGCACCCTCCCCTTTTTCGTGGCATGTCATCCTTCCATCATGACCCATCCTACTTCTCTGTGCATGCTAGGTATAACTTTTTGTGCTGAGAACATGAGAAACCAATGAACATATTTGAAACTATATTAAAATATATATTTATTTGTTTTGTATGTGTGTGTGGGTGTGCAAGTCACTGGGTGTAGAGATCGAGAACAACTTGTGGAAGTCTGTTCTCTCATTCCATGTGGGTCTTGTGGATTGAACGCAAGTAGTCAGCCGTGGTAACAAGTTCCACAACCTGCTATGCCACTCATTGGCCCTGAGTTATTTATTATCAAATAGTTTTAAACCTTTTCATGTTTCTGGTGCTGTGACTTGGGCTACTTGGATACCCTTTTCTAATCTTAGTCCTTCATGGCTTGCTGGTTTTTTCTTTAGTGTATTACCTGGACCTTTTCCAGACCCTATACTCTTTGATGATTGGGCTTCAAGAGAGTTGGTAAATTTTATAGTTCTGGAGAGGGGTAGTATAGGGATTTGTCCTCTTATGGAAAAGGATATGATTTATTGGGAAGGCTGATGGAGTGCTAGTGTTTTCCCTAGGACTGAAGGAAATGCTGAAAGATTTATATCTTTATTTACATTTTTGTTGTTGTTAGAGAAAGAGTCTCCTTATATAGCAAAGGCTGGTTTGAGACTCATGACACAGCTCAGGCTGTCCTTGAACTTGAGAAGTCAGGTTGCTCTAACCTAGACCTCCCATCTAAAGCCACATCCTGTTTGACAGAACAAGGGGTTCCTCCATCCTTGCTGGAAAGTGATTTGTTGTAAAAATACCTTGGGTCTGAGAGTTCTTTGAGACAAGAGCATGTTCTTAGTCACCAGCTTAAGTAAAGGACTCTTATGTGGCCTCACATGCGTGGTGATCTGTAGTTTTCTTGAGTGGACTAAGATACTATAGGTATGCACCCCATCCCCACCCAGCAAGATATTTGCTATAAAATAATTTTTAAAAATAAATTAAAATCTTATTTAAGATACCCTGATGGTATCATGCATAAAGGCTCATTAAGTGTGAACTGTGCATTTGGAGACAGTGTGAAATTAAAGTTTTTAGTGACTTTAAAGTAGTTTCTTTCAAATATGGAGTTTATCAGAAGAACCATTTTCTTCTGTAGATGGAGAAGATGAACACAGGGTGGGTTTTCTCCTCTTACTATATTCTATCTATGAACTGAGAGTGGATAGGAACAGCAAGCAGGCCCAGTATGTGGTACAGTAGAAAATATCTGACATGTTCTCCCAGAACTGGTTGACTTTCTGTTCCACCTTGGGCTGAGCCCAGTGTACAGTAATAGCTTCAACAGAGCCTTCGCTGGCTTCAGGAGCCTCAGCACTGAAAAACTTCTACCACACACACATCACACACTCAGGAGGTAACACTCCTTTAATTTATGGGAGCAGTTGGTTCTTTTGAAGGGGCTGGAACTCCCAGCTTTATTCTGCTCTGCCTGATTGGCTTCTGCTTTTGGCACTCTGTGTCTGCTGTGAATTGCAGTCATAGGCTGATCGAGCCCTTCCCTTTTTTAGCATAGAGCCATCAAGCTAGGTGTCTGCTTCCAAGTGGAGACATGGGGACATATGTTGAAGGAGAGAGCCACCGGGTACAGGCATTTCTGGTTGGCACTCAAACCTGTCACCATCACAACGGGCTCTTGGAAGGGTCTCAGGTTGTCTGCTTTTCCGGCAGCTCAACAGACGCCATCTGGATATCCAGTGTCTGGCTCCTATGGGTTAGAACATGGTAGCCGTGACTTCAGGACCACTAACCTGCTCTCTCTCTCCTTTTGCTGAACTTGGAGAGAGAGAGAGATCTTAGGGTGTTGCTGGCTGTTTGCTGCTGTTTCTTTGATCTTTTAGTCAATTCCTTTGTCATCTGGCTGATTTCCCCCTCTTTCTCTTTTGCAGTGTAGTCCATGGCATGATTGTATTAAAAAGCAGTATTAGTTCATCATAATAATACAAATACTCAGGGGATTTATAAATGTTCTTTCATGAGATATTATTCTGTGCCAGGTCATAAATCATTGTGGTTTCAGACATTTCTTTGGGATTTAAGTTTGTTGCTTTAACAGTTGCCTGGCATGTGTTTTGATCAGGTGTCATGAGTTACATAATACCAAATGTGGCCAAATCTCAAAGCAACACACATCTTGAAAAGGACAAAAATTCTTGATACGTGTTGA